ACAGCTCATTCTCCACTGCTGGTGGGAGTGTAGACTGGTGCAACCATTATGGAAATCAGTATGGAGACTCCTTAGAAAAGTTGGTCTGGAAATCCCCTTTAATCCTACATTGAGCCTACAATTGCACATGAATGAAGCCCAGTGTCACATACTTTAGATCCAGCCACCTCCCAATAAAGCCCCATCTAAAGCTGCAATGAAGTTGTTTTTTTTTTGGGGTGAGGGAGGCTTCTAAATACAAGTCATAATGGAGTCTATCTAGTTTGTTCTCCTGAAGCCTGATGAGATAAGATGCAAGGAATAACCAGTAGAAATACCATCTACTGAATGAGGCAACAAAAGTAAAATTTGTTGAAGCATGTTTCCCTGTGTCCAGTTTGTCCTCAGAGGAGAAAAATAAGGACACTGACTTTATGGACAGACCATAGCCTTTAACATGAGATAGACCCAAGGGACGTGGATTTTCATCCTGACACTACAATTAGCCATGTGACCTTCAGGACTTCCTTAGCTTTTTGGGCTTCTCCGTCTTCATGTGAATAATGCAAATAATAAAATCCATTTCTAACGGTTGTTGAAAATATTGTTTGAGCTTTTCTGTTTACAGTGACTTAGTGCTTGGCAAATTCCTGATAATAAATGTCATTTTCCACTTACACTGAAAGCTTTGAGAGTGATGTGGTGGCAGTTTTCATAATCATAAGGAGCTAGCACATTTTGTGTAGTATTAAGGGTTAGGGAATGTTTACTTAATGCTTTCCATCCAGTTCTCAGTTAAATTCTTTCTTACCTCAGTTCTGTGTGGCAAACATTATTATACCCAGCTGTGGAACATGAAGCTCAGAGAAGTGAAGTAATTTGTGTATAAACTGATGGCTCTGCTAGAAAGTATAAGAACTGACATCTTTCAGCTCAGGTCTTCTTGACACTGAACTAGTTAGTACACATAAGCTCTTCTGCCAAAAGGCTTGAACTAAGTTTAGTTTTTCTGAAGTCTGGGAACTAAATCTGGGAAACATACAGTGGATACTTAATAGTACTTTTGGGTTGTCTTCACCATAGGTCAGATTTCTAGCTTCAGGGAGGCACTTTGGGCCTGTAGTCATTGGATCCAGAAAGTTCTTTCAGTTGGGTGTGCCACCTCTGAGGGCCTTTGTGATAGAAGGGACAGCGGCTGAACAGGCCTAGCCCATGACAGACAGGTAGATCACTGCATGGTGATAGATCAGACAGCCACTGTGCAGTTGAGTCAAGAGAAGCCACATGTAGACATATATTTCTTTTCCAAATGCTGTGCCTCTGCAAAGGTGTGACGGGCATTACTGTTCTTGGCATTCATTGGAAGCACCCAAGGCTGCTTAGGTAATGAACTTCCAGGGGTTCTTCATTAACAGACTTCCTGCTTTTCCTCTTCTCGGACAGGCCCAGCTGTGAGATATAGCAAGTTCAAGATGTCAGAGGCCAAGCCACCTCCCCTGCTCGGGCAGCATACAACACACGTCCTGAAGGACATCCTCAGATATGACGATAGCACCATTGGGAAGCTGCTTGATGCTGGTGTGGTGACTCAACATGAAGCCAACTAACACAGGAAAAAAGATCTGTCTCAAAGAGTGCACTTTGCTGGCAAAGGCTGTACTCCATCTGGGTCCTTCTGTCCATGTCCAGTGCCACTGTGAAGCAGTTAGAGGATCTCCAGGTTTCCTGCTTGGGGTCTCTGGAAGGACTCCGTAATGAATAGGTCCACAGCACTTCAAATGTACCTCACATTGTATCTCATATGAATTTTCAGATAATGGTCTAACTGTGTATTTGTGCAGTTTTTAAAATAAAGAATTCTGTTCTCACACCAGGGGATGATTTAAGGTGGACAGCTATGCTAATTAGCCTAGTTTGATTCTTTTATAATGTATAGATATATAAAAACAGTACAGTGTACTCCATAAATACATGCAATTCCTATTTGTTAATTAAATGAAAAATGAAATTTTTTGGAAAGATTTAATTTTTTCTGAAAAAAATACACTCTTTTTCCTAATTATGCTAATGGCCTAAATGTTTGCCTGTCCTGCCCACACAAACCTGAAAAAGAGCAGATCTCTTGATGTTTTCTAGTTGTACATAAAGTCCTCATTTAAATCTTTGTTAGGAAGTCAAAGTAATAAGCAGAATGACAGTGCTGGTGATTGATTTTAAACAGAATAACTTAATTTTGAGCTCTTGAACCCTTTGTTAGTCTGTAATTTAAACCATGAGCTTTGCTAATATTCCCTTAAAAATCTGAGCTCCATTCTACTCTGTTGGTATAAATATTTGCTTCATGTCTTCTTTCTCTGGTGATTTCATGATACATAGCAAAAAATCAATTCCTACCAATACACTTGGGGTGTGCTCATCTGTCTGCATGAGTAGGTGAGGAGTGATTTCAATTGGTACCTTATTTTGAGGCACGTCCAAGCACAACAGGCTTTTAAGTGAATGTTAGATAACTCTCCAGGTATTAAAGAATATATGCATAGTTACAAATAGGAGGATGACAGGAAAACATTTGTAATGTTATAGATTAGATTAATTAGAATCTGTGCACCCATTCTCGAAGACTGTATCATGCCTAGTGTTTTGTCAGCAAATTCAAAGTACAGGAAAATCCTCTATCTAGAAGATAAGAAGTGAATAAGACATACCTTCCAGGATAAATTGTCACTGAAGACTGCCAAGCCCAGGTACAGACCAGAGAATCCGACACCCCATGACCAGTATCCTGAGGTGACCTTAACTCATGGCTATTAGGCACACATACTTTAAAAGCAATGTCATTACATACCAAGTAGTAATTGAAAGCTAAGTTACAGATGTTCATCTTTCAGATGGTGATTTAGAGCTAGTATTCTTTTCATGTTCTTTTTGATTGGCCCAATTAAAGTCATCTACCCATGCTGTAAAGACTAATATGTTTCAAGAATCACTGATTCCAAACCAATCAAAAGCTTGTCTCCTGGCAAGACCTCAATAGATGTGTTTAAAAATGCTTACAAATTTTCAAGGCATTTACTGTTTTCCTTGCTTTGCTGTTTGTGCACATCTTACCCAGAAGAACTCCTTCTGTTCTTCCATTAGAGACAGTTTGATCACAGCTCTCCTTTCCCTGCAATATAAATTCATGTTTGAAGACATTCACTTCAGTTGCTTCATTTAAATGATTTCTTGTGTGTTCATACAATTAGTATAGAAATCCACACAGTAATTGGATACAGAAAATTGGCAATGCCAAATATTCCAATAGGCAGTCCTACTATTTTTCCTATTTGCTTAGGAGAGATTTTGAGGTAGATGAGGTAGATCTCAAAATGCCAGTTAGTTAATAAGTAATAATCTGACATACACAGATATGCAGGTAGGAGGACTCTGATAATGGATAAGGACCAGAAGGTGCTCCTAAAACTTTTAAACTTTTAAGCCAATAAAGACTGTGGCCTTTAAACGTTTCAGTTACCATTGAAACAAAGATGCTGTATATATACTTTACTCAAATTTCCACCTACACAGCTCAAAGTAACCCAGGAGAACTTTGAACTAAAGGTCACCACCCAGAAGAAAACATTTACTCTATGATTAGCAACAAATAATTCAGAATTTGTTTCAAGTTCAAGTGGATAATTAGTTTGGTAAGAAACATTGTGCTTGCTAAGATTTCTAGAAATATGCCCTAGATCAAGTTGTGCTTATAAACAAATGTGCTGTTTTAATTATCAGAGCCTATTATCTTACACATTCCTGAAACTGAACTCACTACTAAGATACCATATGCTCAAGTTCAGTTTGTGTCAAGGCCTGCCTGCTGGCAGGTTTGTGTCTGAGGTTGGCCTAGAAAATTCCTTGAAACTTAGTGGGTTAATCATTTTGGAATTATGGGCGTGTCCAGAAGCCAATGGTCTTCTTTCCCTTAATTTTTTTTTTCTTAAACTTTTTACTCCCATGATTTTCTGGTTATTCATGTATAATATTTTCCAGCAAACAGGGTGATATGCTGAATAGTTCCTTAGAAGACAAATGAATGTCGATCAACTTTGTGTGAGTACCCCAGTTACTTGGTATGATCTTGTCTCTGACCCATTTACTGGGGTTAGAATTACAAAGGAGATCTTCAATAGGATATTTCACTGTATAACTTTAGGCTATTGTGCTTGGATATCTCTGTGAGGAGGTTTTTTTGTTTTTGTTTTGTTTTTTTGGCAGAACCTTGGACTGAACTCAAGGCCTTGCACTTGACAGGGAAGCGCTTATTCTACTGAGCTATCTCCCCAGCCCCTGAGGAAGTTTTTTTCATAAAAGAACTCACAGTCTCCATTTTGAAGTCTTCTTAGGGAAATTGCACCCATTTCTACCTTCGTTGCATTTGATATTTCACCCTTGACTTGTTTGTGTCCTGTCTTTCACATGTTGCATATTTTAAAAACTTTATAATCACAAATATGTACTACAAAAATAATAGATATGAATTCAGGTCCCAAAACTAGTGATAGGTGTGAATTTTGCTTATGCCTCTTCCACATGGCTTATCCACAGGACTCATTCTCCTGACAATTGTCCTAAATTGAGAACAAATCTGAGACAAAGGGCTGAGTAGACTATTTAGATCTTCAGCCTCTTCTTACAAATGCTCCACCATGGTTCTCAATGACCAAGGAGAGAAGCAGGAAAAAATGTACACTTCTTGTCCTCTGTACCCTGTTGTTGTTTACTTATTTTTTTGTAATTTATATGACAAGATGATGATATTTTCTTTTACTTGACTTCTATTCATGAGAGAGTTCTGACTGTAGTGAGTATGTATAGCAGGTGGGATCCTTGGAATTAAAAAAAATGTTGCTAATTTTTATTATATTATCAACTATTTTCAGGAGATCAGAACAACAGACTCCTTCTTGATTTGGTAGAACCAGGACAGTTACAATCACTGTTTGATAAGGAGAAGAAACAGATTCAGAGCACATACTTCCATGACAAAAATCAGTTGGAAAAGCTGAAACACATCACAGCTTCATGCCATGAAGTCTGAAAGTTCTTAGGCATTGGAAGAACTGGGTTTCTTCTTACATTCCTAGTCCAGCAATGCTTTACCCAAGGAGGATGCTCAAAGAGTTTCTGAGTGCAGACATACCACCCTGATTTCCCAGCACAAATGGCTCTGAGTGTTTAACAGGGTTGGCAGCATGATGGACAGGTTTATGTGGTGCATTAGTGGAGTATAAGCAACTCTGATACACACGTATCCCCCAACAACCCTTCAAGAATATGTCTCCCAGTATCACTCTCCATGCTGAAGACAAATAATGCAAATACTTTTCATTAGAGCATATGCTCCTCACACTAGAGATGCAAATACCAGAGAAAAGTGCTTTGATTAGCAGCAAAGGGGAAAAGCATATCTGGAGTGCATATTCTGGTTGGCACATTCTCTCTATAGGTTCTGGATAGCCAGGAGCAGAGGAGCCCAGCCTGATGTGGAGGTGTCTGAAGAAGGGCAGGCCTGGAGGGTTACCTCAATCACTCCCCAGGAAGCAGATTTTTTACCCTCAATTTTTCCTGAAAAATAGCTCTTGCTTTTTAAAAGGACAAGATAAGGAAAGTTTTGCTTACCACAGTGTCCATCTGCTACTTTGGTTTTTTCCCCATAATTTTATTGATAAACAAATAGCAATGAGACAATTTCAAATCATATTGGTAGGACAGTTTCAATAATTAACACATTGCATACATTCCTCGCAGTGGTTAATTGCTGTACAAGATGCGGACATGATATCCTATCGACAAACACCATTAGAACAAGTCACTCTATTCATTAAGAGAATGTAACTATATATCTATCCTAACCACTTTGAATACACAGATACAAAATGGACATTCATCTGTATACCTTTTTTTTGTTG